TTTTTTTTTAGTAAATTACCTTTTTTGAAGAAAATTGCATAATTAATGCTACAGAAATTTATTTTATTTAGAAAGTACAAGTTATTACGCTATATAGAAAGGTTTGTTATAGTGCAAAATTTAACGAAAGTAGTGGTAAAAATCGAAGTTGTATATATATATATATTTTTTTTAATAGCGTTTACCAAAAAATTTGTTTTAAAAATGGTTATAGTCAACATGTCGTAAAAAAAACCATTAGAATTATATTTGAATTGGCATCAATACTTTTCTAATCGGTCAAGTAGTTTCCGAGATATTACACATTAAAATTAGGAAAGGTGAAGTTTAACCTGTTATATTTTCTTGGGTTTTTTGCTTGCCGCAGATAATTTGCGTGTGGGTGAAATCAGCGTGAGGAGTTCTATCGATCTGCATTTTTGTTTGTTTTTGTAGCTAAACGGTCCATATTGTAGCTAGAATCAGCTGTTCGCATGGCAAACAAAATCAAAATTGCCAGCATGTTGGCAAATACATTTTGGTTGTCAAATGCTGCCACATCAGCGGCGAGGGCCGTTTTCATTTGGATGTCATTTTATATGACCGAGCGTGGTGACTTATGACAACAAACGCAAATGACACCAGATGACAACCTGTTTTCATTATTTTGACAACATTTGACGTTAAATATGACCTAATGAAAACCAAGCTTTAAAAACACTTCTTTTATTGACGCGTACGTTATCGCCTTGTTTTGACCGGATATTTTCCACACCAAAGTTTCGAGGCTGCTTATATTTTTCTCAAACATAGTACCCTTGGGTTGCAACATAATCGTAATCTTGTTTTTCAGTAACTTCTATTTTTGAGAGATTTATGTTACTCCATAAGCGTACGAATGTCGCGTACGGCTGCATGGAAACACCCATATGTCATTTTGTTTGCCGTTATCGCCTTGATTCAGAAATAGTGCTGTACTGGTTGAAAAAGCACCCGGCCACTCTGTCTACTTTTGTCGCAAATAGGGTAGCTGAAATCCAGGAAAACGCAGTCAATGTTGTTTGGAGACATGTACCGACTAAAGAGAATCCTGCAGACTTAGCCTCACACGGATCTGATATTGACCAATTACTGCAACCTTTGTGAGTTGAAGGCCCAAGTTTCCTGGTAAAAGAATCGAGAAATTGGCCTCAAAACAAAAAATTTGAGCTCGACGAATCCAACACAAAATTAGAGCTAAAAAAGGCGAAAACCATACTAAACCTTGCAGTACAAGAGAAAATAATTTTAAAAATAATTGACTCTTAACAAAATTGTACGAATTGTAACACATATTTACAGATTTATAAAGCCGTTCATAAATACAAGGGGTACAGATATAACCGCCAAAGAATATAATTGGGCGTTCTTAAAAACAGTGGAAACCGTTCAGAAATCTGAATTTGCGGACATACTCGAGCAAATGAGGAAAGGCAACTATCCACCGGCAAATATTCAACGATTAAACCCCTTCATACAAGAGCACACGGAACAGGCCCGAAATTTATCTCTGCTGCGTGTTGGAGGCCGTTTAAAACACTCAGACTTTCCAGAAGTCGTAAAATTTCCGTTATTATTGCCAAAATCCTCTAAATTCGTACGTAAATATGTTGAGCACTTGCACCAGTCCAACTGCCATGCAGGACCAAAGATTCTAGTTGGCTTAATGCGACAAAAGGTATGGGTCACAAATGCCAGAGATATTGCCCGAAAAATAGTTCGCCAGTGTATTCGTTGTTTTAAATTCGGCCCAAAACTAATGAGCCAAATAATGGGTGACTTGCGACCAGATAGATTGAGATCAGTTAGACCCTTTCTTATTTTCGGAGTTGATTTTTGTGGGCCTATATACACCACCCTTAAAATAAGAGGCCGACCGCCTTACAAATCTTACGTTGCCATTTTTATTTGTTTCAATTCAAAGGCTGTACATGTAGAGCCTGTCTCTGATTTATCAACTAATGCTTTTTTATCTGTTCTCAAAAGGTTCGTCGGACGTCGCGGAGTTCCTCAGAAACTATACTGCGACAACGCAACGAATTTCGTGGGCGCCAACGCACGGCTTCGAGATCTCGCCAAGCAACTCCAGGACGACGACAAGCGGAGCGAAATTGGCGCGTTCGCAGCCGAGCTAGGAATGGAATTCGCCTTCATACCCCCACGCGCACCTCACTTCGGCGGGCTATGGGGGGCAGCCGTCAAGAGCGCCAAACATCTTCTTATGCGCGTCGTCGGCGACAATACCCTTACCTTCGAGGAGTTGGCCACCGTCTTGGTCGACGTGGAGGCAATAATGAATTCCCGCCCACTCGTAGGAGCAACAGACGACCCCAACGACGCCGAAGCAAAAACCCCAGCACATCTCTTAATAGGGGATTCTCTCATGGCCGCACAGTGTAAGATTTTACCAATCTAGCTGCTTTTAATTCTGTAATTCGAAAACTATTGAAGATAGATTAATAAAATTTTGCACAAGGTACGTTATAAGATAGGCGAAGCTTTTTACAAAAAATTGGTCATTTAGAGTTACTGCCACGTCACCCTATTATATAACTGCAATTTATAAAAATGCAAAAACTGAAATATTTAACTAACTACAAAGGCTAAAATGCCTAAAATAAATATTTAGAATTTCCCTATAACAATGAATTATAAACTGGCAAAAATGGACTCAAAAATAAATATCGATAAAAAATCAAGTTGGGTCAACGAAATTCCGTTATAAGTTCAATATTTCTTGCTCTATTTACAAAAGTGGGATACTATTGGAAAGGTTGTGAATTAGGCTTTCTCTATTCAAAGCGGAAATACAAGAATTTGTCTAGGCCGAGATTAAATTCAAATAAATTACTCGAAGAAAATTAAATTCCTAGTAGGCCTGAAAAATGAAAATTTCATCAAAACCTGCACTTTCCAGCAGCTAAAATTGTGTTGTTTAAAGTCAAAGAGGAGTGGTAAATAAACTGAGATACAAACTTTATCGAATAGTGGCGGATAACGAGTTTGCGGGTCTAATGAAATTAATAAATTGCTAAAAATAAATCTAAATTAACATCGTTTTACTTTAACATGTAATACTCAGTCCTAGTTTACTAAAATCCCGAAAATGTATATTCATTAAAAAGAACATACCTAAAAAATAAGACGAAAATGGTATTTTAGCGATTGTTGCATAAATCACAAAACACCGACAAATTAAACATTGCGATTCAGTTCCAAATATACAATTTTAAATAATACTGCGCTCGGTAATCTTCCAAATCGAATCCCGTCCCGCCCCACACTTTGGTTTAAATTTTGTAATTGTTATTGTTTCGTCTTTAGCAGACATTTCTAAAAACATTTTTGACGTTGTTTTGAAATTTGGCGACATAAAATAATGTAATTAATATTTTCTAGAATATGGAAATAATACACTGTGGGCCGTGCCCGAGCCCCACGTTTCAACCGAGAAGCTATGCTATTTAGATCGTTGGCAGCGGCTCTCGTCCCTGAAGGCTCGATTTTGGTCCGCCTTCCAGCGGGACCATATTCTCAATCTCCAGGCGAGAACCAAATGGGACAGACCGCAACCCAACCTCGTAGTTGGCACCCTCGTGCTGGTGCACGAAGACAATTTGCCGCCCCAAAAATGGCTATTGGGAAGGGTAGTAAAAACCGTAATTGGCGCAGACGGTAAAGTGCGTGTTGCAGACGTTAAAACATCGTCCGGGGTCTGTCGACGCGCCATACAAAAATTGGCAATGCTTCCAACAAGTATAGATTGAAGATCGCAGGTCCTTCAATGGGACCGGAATGTTGGAGCACGCCTAGTTCATCATCGTAACCTTCATTTATTTTCATTTTTATATATACATATAATATGTTCATTTTACATGAAATTCATAGCATTATCGATTTGCATATCGAACTCATATTTGTTTGCACATGAATTGTATTTACATATGTATGTAATACTTCATATTTCTTGATATAATCGTACATTAATATTTGAATTGTTAAACCTAATACTCAATGTAATCTTTGGATGTAGTGTTTAAGTAGTATTTGCTTCTATATGTACATATGTACAACATTAAATGAATTGTATTATTTAAATACTACATACAGGGCTTTTCAGGATGTTGTGCTAATGATCTTGGATTTGCATTTATATTTTCTGTTACAAATGAATTGAATTATGCAAATTCATGATCACAAGCAGCGTTGCCGTTTTGGTCCAATTGGACCAAAATTGGTAGGCTCATTATCCTTTGGTAGTTTGGTTGGTAGGATGAAGCTTTTGGTAGGCAAAAGTGAAATTGCAACCAAATTGAGCAATAAAATTTGTTTGCTTAAGATTGCATACTGCCAGTGCTATCTACTATTTATAGTAACTCTAAAAATATCTATGAATGGTAACCCTGTATTCATAGCAAGCAAAGGAAATAATGACAAGAGAAAGAGTGAAAGAAAGATGTTAAATGTCAAAAACTTGGCATTTGCGCGCCTTTCTTCAATTGAATTTAACAAACAAGCGAAAAGATTAGTGATGGACAAGTAAGTTAATTTTGCTTTAAATTAGTTACTTTTTAATCGTTGTTTATTTGCAGGTATATCTATAAAGCCTCTAAACCGTCCGAAGTAAGTGTGGACAATAATAACGACGACTTGTTCAGGTAAAAAATTGCGACTAAGTAGGCATGTACATATGTGTCAATTAACAAATACTGAAAATTCTCGTAGTGATGAAAACTCGCCTGCGCCCAAAAACCAAATTCAGAAATAAACTAAACATCATTACAATAAATAGTATTATGCACTGTAAATAACTAGTACAGAAGGCTGAGGCACATTACATGTGGTCAGCAAAAAGAGATCTCAAAGATGTATGATTTTTTTACAAACGTTTTGAATACAATTAGGGGATATAAAAAATTTTTGTTGTTGTTTTGTCGAAGAAAAAAAAACGTTTGAAATTAATTGAATTGATCTCAAAGATATATATACTCGGTACGTTTTTTTTTACAAACGTTTTGTGTACAATATTTTTGATACTTAGGTTGTTCACACTTGCTTGGTTATCAGGTTATCTGGTTAAAAATTATTATTCTGTAGTGTATTTTATTGTTGTAAACTGAATAAAAAATATAACCACATAACCAGATAACCTGATAACCAAGCACGTGTGAACAACCTAACTTTTATTTAAACGCATAAAATGTCTGAATTTGTTGTTTTATACATCAAAATGTTTGATATGAATTGAATTAATATCAAAACTATATACAATGCTTATAACTGTTTTTTATACGATACGTTAATTAATTTATTTAAACGCCCGAATTTATTTTGTGTAAACTTCAAGTATTCATGTAGCACAGTAAACCACATTATTTGGTATTTTAATTTATACCTACTGTTAATCAGCAAAACCTGTAAATTTAATAAAATCTCGTTTTATTGGTACAAATTTTTTGGTAGTTTGCAAACTTATTTGGTAGGCTTTTTGGTACCTTAAAATATTCTCAAGTGGCAACGCTGATCACATGCACAACATCCTGAACAGCCCTTATGCATAGTTGCACAAACTTGTGCACTCTAGAATTCCTCAACTTTAAAACAGAGTATTTTTGTAAATAGTGCAGCCCTGCGTGGCCGCTGATTATACACTCACACTAGTATGCATATATTATAGTACATAAGAACCATTTGAGGCTATGTACTTCTCTGGAATGAATAAACTGAATTATTGTAAAAAGATACTCGGACCGGTCAACACTACTTTTAATTTGCTCGCTCGTTTCTTCTAAAGTTCCGCCGTCGGTGGTGATTTTAATTAAATATTTGTAGTTACGCGGTTAAATAAGTTTGCTTAGTTGTTGGTAGCATACGACTGCCCTACAGTTCATAAATTTAAATTTGTTCAATAAAGTTTTTTCGAAGCGCAAACTAGCGCTGCGTCAGGTAGCAACCCTCCTCAAAAGTATTTCCAGCAGTTATCTTTCTTAAACCTATTTAATTTTGTACCCGCATTGCAACTTTTCTTTTATTTATCAATTTAAATTAGTTAAAATTTTCAAATGGGTGGCAACCCTCGTCAAAGATATGTCCAGTAGTTATCTTTCTTAAACCTCTTTAGTTTGATACCCATATTGAAATAATTTGTTTATTTTATCAATACAATTGGGTTTTAAAAATTTTCAAATAGGTGGCAACCCTCCATTTTTTGCGATATCATTGGTTCTGGTATTATACCGAACAATACAACAAAAATTATTCAAATCGGTTCACCCGTTCTCGAGTTTTGACGACCGTGACATACGAACACAACTTTTATATATATATATATATATATAAGATGATCATGCTTAAAACAAAATAATATAAACCGTGTTTTAAAACTTTATACAAAACAAAGTTAAATTTAACGATTTTTCATCAAAATGTTTGACCTTTTAATCAGATTAAAAAATAATAATAAACTAAAGTGGTAAACAATCGCACTTTGAAATGGGGGTGCTATTGATATGAACGATACTGTACATACAGTGACGAGCAAAACTGTAATTTGGTGTAACACTTTTTATTTCAGCCGCCGCTATCTTTCCAAGTTCTAACGATATTCATACTTTTGTTGTATATTCTTATTGGTACACCTGTACTTCCTCTCTCATAACGATTTGAAGTCAATCCAACAACAATAATAAAACCAGCAGACAAAAATGCAAATTAAGGCAAATGTTACGGTTTTGCACTTATATATTTTTAATAACTTTATGACAACTTTCACGAAAAAATAGAATTATTAACACAATTTTCAGTACCCTTTTGCTTCTTTTAGTTGCTGGATGCGATTTCGCATACCTTATTTGTATCTCTGTAAAAATTCTGGAGGTATATCCTCCCATATATCCTTAGTTTGCTTTCACAGCTCATATACTCCATTGGACGGACTTGGATACTTAGTAAGCTGTGCTTTTAGTTGATTTCGCAAATTCTCGAAAAGATTCATGTCCGCGGATTGTGGAGGTCATTTCAAATTAGCAAATTTTTGCTTTTGTATCCAGTCTTTGCCAACATGTGCAGTGTGTTTTGGGCGATTTTTCAGCAGAAACTTTTTTTTTCGGCTACATCTTGCAAATTTTGTTGAAATATGAACAGATAGTGTTCCTTACGCATATTTCATACTAACGGACCAACAAAATTTTTTAAATACAACCTCAAACTATTATTGACCGACCACTGTGATTCACAGTTTGCCTTACATCAGACATGGGCACTTTTTTGCCCGCGCAGTAGCGAACGTGCGAGCGCGGGCTGGAGAAAGGGAAAAACAGTTTACGGGAGGAAGGGTATGAAAAGTTGCGAAAAAATTATTTATATCCCACCGACATAATGTTCATCGCAGTACGGCTGCGGTAATACTGACTTTGTGTACCAAACAAAGAGCATACATTTTCCTCATATACACAATAAGCCATCGTTCGGACTTCGCTCCGATAGGAGTAGATTTGTTCCGTTTTATCGAAAAAATGTGAAACCTAGTCCTCTACTTCGCTCAACTGAAAATCTGCTCCGTTTTGTTGCATAAAGAAATTTACTCTTCAAATAGAAAGGAGGTGGGGTTTTGAATAGCAAACTAAAAGTTATATTTTACCTTTTTATCGACACGATTGTTACATTGGTGAGCTACAGCAACTTTGCAAATACGCTTGAATTCGTGAATAGGCCCTCACAATCGCCCGATTTGAACCCGATCGAAAAATATTGCTCTGTCTAAAGTTCTGTAATTGCGTCGTTGCCCACCGATGTAACAATTGTCCCGGTAAAGAAAGAATGAAATAACTTTTTATTAATTTTAACCAAGGAATTTTAACTTTAATGATAATTGCTCGCTGGATTAAGGCGCCTTTA